AATGACATGAAAGTAGAAAGGAGACTACTACTAAACAAGAGGAAGGAATAAGGGGGAAAGGAAGGGATTGCAATGAGGGCAACAGGAGGAGTGGATGGGATCAAAATATACACATTGAAGCCAAATATTTTGTAAAATTAATAGGCACTAGTAATAAAGAAGAAAAAATTAAAAAGAAAAAGAAAGGACCTAGGGTAGGAAAAACAATTTTAAAAAAGAAGAAAAAAGTTAGAGGACTTACATGACCTGATTTCATGACTTAAGTCTTGTAACAGCAATTCAGCAATGAAGATAATATGGCACTGGCATAAGAATGGACAGAGACAGCAGCAAAACCACACGGAGTCCAGAAGGAGATCCGTGCATCTATGGCTGATTTCTGATAAATGGCCAAAGAAATTCAGTGTAGAAAAGGACAGCATTTGCAACAACTAGGTGTTATATTTTTTAACAAAAAAAGCTTGATCTCCCCCTCACAGCATATACAAAAAAAGTAATAAATTCAAAATGAGTTAGAGATCTAAATGTAAGAGATAAAACCATAAAGTTTTTTTAAAGAGAAGAAAAAGAAACAATAAAAACAATGGTATAAAATTTCAAAACAAGATGGTAGGAGAGTAACAATGTTCAGTACATTGTGCATTATCTTCAAAGTAGTTGCTCATAATACAAGACATAGACATGTGAAGCCCCTCAAGCAATATAGGCATATACCTACCCTTTCAGTGAGCTAACAGCAATTAGTAGTATATCTATTCTAACTATCTTATGTGTACACTTGGAAATCAGTCTGGAGATTCCTCAAAAAACTAGGCTTAGAGGTCCCAGTTAACCCAGTTATTCCCCTTCTGGGTATTTTCCCAGAAGAATGAAAAGCATCATACCACAGTGATACATGTGCACCCATGTTTATAGCAGCACAATTTGTCATAGCTAAATCTTGGAAACAACAAAATGCCCTTCAACCAAAGAATGGATAAAAAGATATGGTCTTTTTATACAATGGAGTACTACTCAGCTATAAAGAGGGATAATCTCAAGACATTAATAAGGAAATGGATGCGACTTGAGCCCCTACTTGTAAGTGAAATAATTCAGACATACATGTGTAAACATCATATTGTCTCCTAGTGTAAGAAGCTGAAATAATAAACAAGACCAAAAATAGATATCATGAAATGGGAAGAAATTGTTCAAAAGGAAAGAGAAACTGGAATGGGGGAAAGGAGAAAAGAAGGAAGGGAAAAGAAAAAAATAGATAAAACCATAAAGCTTTTCTTTTTTTTTTCTTGAGACAGGGTCTCACTGTGCAGTTCAGGCTGGCCTTGAGCTCACTTTGTAGCCCAAGTTGGCCTCAAACTCACAATGATCCTCCTGTCTCAGCCTCCCAAGTGCTGGGATTAAAACCATAAAACTTTTAAAAGAAAATGTAAAAAAAAAATTGTGAGCTTGGGTTAGGCAAAGATTTATTTCCTAGGACACAAAAATATGAATTACAAAAGAAAATGTAGAAGACTTCATCAAAATTAAAAACATTTGCTCAAGGGGCTGGGGATTTAGCTCAGCGGCACAGTGCCTGCCTGGCAAGCGCAAGGTCACGAGTTCGATTTCTGGTACTGGAAAAAAAAAAAACAAAAAACAAAAAGCAAAAGAAAGTTTGCCCAACAAAAGCCACTGTTAAGTAAAAAAGCACAAACCATAGACTAGGAGGAAATGTTTGTAAAATATCTATCTGATAAACCATCTGTAACCTGAATAAATACAAATTCTTGAAACTAAATAGTAAAAATATCAACCAACAGAAAACATAGGCCAAAGATTTAAACAGCCACTTTGCCAAAGATATATTGAATGGTAAGTTAGCACATGAAAAAATGCTTAACATCATTACGCTGTTTTTTTTTGTTTTTTTTTTAAGACAGGGTCTCACTATGCAGTTCAGGCTGGCCTCAAACTAACAGCGATCCTTCTGCCTCAGCCTAACATCATTACATTTGAGACTCAAACTCAGGGACCTCATGCTTGCCAGGCAAGTGCTGGTGCCGCTGAGCTATATTCCTGGCTTTAGCATCATTAATGATGAAGGAAATAAAAACTAAAACTACAATAAGATACAGCTACACACAACTATTAAAAATAAAAACAGTAGAGCTGGGCGTAGTGGCACATGCCTGCAATCCCAGCACTTGGGAGGCTGAGGCAGGAGGATTGCTGCGAGTTCAAGGCCAGCTGGGGCTACAAAGTGAGCTCAAGGTCAGCCTGAACTGCATAGTGAGATCCTGTCTCAAAAAGACCAAAATAATAATAATAATAATAATTAATTAATTAAAAAATAAAAAAATAAAAACAACAAATGGCAACAGCAAATGCTGTTGGAACACTCAGACATGACGGGTAGAGATGCGAAATGGTGTGGCCACTTGGAAAACAATTTTGGGGGGGTTATTTTTATTTTTACTAGTACATTTTAGATATACATAATGATAACCTTCATCATTGGGAATTTGTAATTGTACATAATATATCATCCTTCTATTTTTCCCATTCCCCTCCCCTCCCTTTCACCCCTCTTCCCCTCTTTATTTACAAAAAGCTTTGTTTCCATTTTTCCTTCTATTTTTTTTCCTGTCACTTCTGTCCCCCCTTCCCGCTGTTCCCCTTTCCATTTGAACATTTTCTTCCCATTTCCCAATGCCTATATACATCTTGGTCCTTATTTACACTTTCAGTTTCTCACACCAGAGAAACCATGCGATGTTGGAAAACAATTTGACCTTTTTTTTTTAATCTTTTTTTTTTTTCTTTTGGTATCAGGAATCAAACTCAGGACTTTGCACTTGCCAGGCAGGCGCTGTGCTGCTGAGCTATATCCCCACCTTTGACCTTTTTTAAACCAAAGTAAATATGAACTCTCCGTATGATTCAGCAATTCACCCAAGAGAAATGAAAACATGCACACATAACCCGAATATGAATAATCTAGCATCTTTGTTTAATAAGAGCCAAAAACCAGTGAATGGATAACAAGTCGTGGTATATCCCATAAAATGGAAACTATTACTCAACAATAAAAAGGGGGAAAAGAACTAGTCACAAACACAGGGCTGGGGATTTAGCTCAGGGGCACAGCGCCTGCCTGGCAAGCACAAGGTCGTGAGTTCGATTCCTGGTACGGGAAAACAAACAAACAAATAAAAAAAAACCCACCACATCAACATGAACGAATGAAAGGACTCAGTCTTAGAGGCTCTCTGCTTATAGAATCCCATGCATAATCCACTGTCAAAAAGGCAAACTACAAGGACAGAAGTCAGATCTGAGAATGTCAGGGATAGGGAGTGGAGTACAGGGGACCTTTTCAGGACGACAGAAACATCCTATATCATGAGTGTGGTGGTTATTATACCATCATGTACATGTCATAACAAATACAACCATACATTTTAAGAGTAAATTTTATTATATGTACCTTATACCTCAATGAATCTGACTTTAAAAAATGGTCATTGTGCCAAGGGCACTGGACTTCATGTGTCCTTTGCCACTTCCTTACGGGAGCCCCAGGACGCTGTCTAGTTTCTCAGCTCTTTAACCTGCCCCGGCGCACAACCTCCGCGCAGGCCGGGAAGAACAGACAGATCGCGAAAGGGACGCGCGGGGTGAGACGGACCCAGAGCGCCTCTGACCACCCTGCTCGGCACAAGGGCGCTCAGGTTGGGTTTCAGCGCCCACTGCAGGGTCGGGCAGCGCTAGGTAAGAACAGGGCCCAGATCTGGCAAAACGAGGGGCGACCACGCAGAGCCAAAGGCTGCAGAGCCGCCGTCCGTCGCCCTTCCCCTTCCGGCGCGCCCTTCCCTGGCCATCACGGCCGGTGCACCCCTGCAGAGCTCCTGCGATACTTCACCGTTCCTCTAGGAGACTTGAACCCCAAGGGAGGAAGGAATCATTGCTTGATCCCTGAGGTCCCAGGCCCTCTCTGCTTTGTATAAAACATTTCATCAGAACCTTGCTCTGACCGTCACAACAGCCGGCTGAGGCGGATGCTGTCATCGACCCATTTTTACACATGTGGACACTGCGGCTCTGGGAAGTTGAACAACCAGGCAAGAAGCGCCCAGGTTGAGGTGTAAGCCCATGGGAGCCCAACTCAAAAGCTGGGGCTCCTTGGACACCCCATCTGAGCATCCGGCTCGTTCCCACAACCCCACCACACCTGCCGTCGCTCAGCCCCTCACTCACGGCCCCGAGTCCCGCCCCGCACGCTCCGGGTCGCGGCGCTCGTGGCCGCGGCACTCCGCAGCCCGGGGTC